AACTGTTCTGAATCCGCCAAGTGCAAGGTGTGCTTTACTAGTGCTGCTGATGGCCGATTTGCAACATTTTGTTGCAGCTGCACTTTCGCGAACTACTAATGCCGCATGGAGAAGGGGTGGGTGGGTTGTAATTCGAATTGCAAAAATCTGTTTTCTGTTTTTATTTATTAAATCAACTGCTGCTTGCTGCTGCCACCGTTTGCCGTTTGCTTTATGCATGATCCCTTTTGTTCCATTTTGTGCACTGTTGCATTGAGTACGGTTACTGCTTTTGCGAAAGGTCATTAACGCCACAGTTGCCGGCCTGTTTTCGCTACACATTACAAATAAAAAATTACCGAATATTTGTTGTAATTCATTAAGACGGGAATCATGGTGAAATGTGGAAGGGGAGGAACGTGAGATGGCATTGTTAGCCGCTCAGTTGCAACTCCCGGAAGTGCGAGCATCAAACAACAGCCATACAATCAACGCGACAACAAATCTCAACAACTCTCTGGGCGATTATGATTTCCCTAGAATCGTCACTGAATTGGAAACTTCAAATGGCATCAGCAATTCAATGCCAACCATCAGCCATTTAGTGAACAGCTCAATTATTTTTGTGCATCTGTATTGATGTATCAATGTGTTCAAATGTATGTGGGTATTTACAATTATTTTATGCCCTCGCACTAGATCCATTTCAACTGTCCTCTTTGTTCGCAATTGTCAACTGGTAGTTGTCCGGTTTTAGTGGTTATGATTGCAGAGCTCTAACTTTTAGCGGGAATTGCCAGCTAGCGGAACTAGACGCATTAAAAATCCATTAACATTGCTGGTCAACATAATAGAAGACAATAGGCTTTACACTTCCCTTGACCCAATTCCGACGTCGCTCATGAGAGATGCGTGTGAGCGAATTCCTATTGGGATTCAATTTGTATGTAAGAGTTAAGTCCGTGTTTAATTTTAATATAGCAACTAGCAAACTAACAAGCATCACGTCATAATCTTAACTAAGAATTTGTTTAACTGTTTCCAAAATACTGAATTCACATGGAGTTTTTTCGTTTTTGATTTGTCATATTTCGGGGTATTGTTTATTATTTCATATTATTACTTGAATAAATTCAACTTCAGGTAAGCAGGTATCACTTCGCTACTCCTTACTAACAAGATGACCTTTTTCATACTGACCTCACTCAAATATTTATATGCCGACCAACACGGTGCGGGCCTCTGGTATTTGTATAGGAAGAAAGCGTATATGATATCCCGCGGCTTATTGCTCCCTAATTTGAATTATATTAAGACTCAAATAAAATATGACCCTAATAAGGTAAAATGAATTTCATTATTGGTCATTGACCTTGCCATGAGCTTCACTCAGGCAGTGAGAGTTGACTTGTTTACACTCTTAAATATAAGAGTAAAGTAACGTTAAACCAAACTTATAGGTTAAATTTCGTGTTGGCTGCGATAAAATTATGGCAAACAATTTTATACTGGCCTAGACGAATTTATGAGATTTGGTGTGGTGACTTTTCTTTCTTAGAAAACAAATATCAGTTCGCAAATTATTATTTAGTTGACAGTGTTCGAAGTCGCCTCCAGAATGGAGTTCTTTATAAGAAAAAATGTTTAATCATAATATGAATTGTACTTATAATTTGATTTCTCCACACGTATACATATATATGTGTAGAGCGTATTTTGTATCATTTCGTTTAATAATAAATCGAATGCATAGTTAATAATCCTTAATCCACAATCTGTTTATTTCAGATAGCGCAACATACGTAGGCAACATACTGAAGATTAAGTCGGTCAAGAAGGAGGATCGTGGCACTTACTATTGCGTTGCCGACAACGGTGTCAGCAAGGGTGACCGTCGCAACATTAATGTCGAAGTCGAATTCGCACCTGTCATCACTGTGCCACGGCCACGTTTGGGACAAGCTCTCCAATATGACATGGACTTGGAATGTCACATCGAAGCTTACCCACCACCGGCCATTGTCTGGCTGAAGGATGACATTCAACTCTCGAACAACCAGCACTACAGCATCTCTCACTTTGCCACGGCCGACGAGTACTCCGACTCCACATTGCGTGTTATCACTATTGAGAAACGTCAATATGGTGACTATGTTTGCAAGGCCGTAAACAAACTGGGACAGGCCGAGGCGCGCGTCAATCTCTTCGAAACGGTGATCCCGGTGTGTCCACCAGCTTGCGGACAGGCATATTACGGCGGCGCTGAGCATTTGGCGGCCACCACATTTGTATTTTTGACCATGGTCGGAGCGGCGCTCTTTGCAAGATAAACGCAAAAACTTTGAATTACATACGTATGTACATACCAAGTGGGCGTGTTCGAAGAGCAGGACGCAGCTTACAAAAAACAAAAAAAACGATAAGCGATGAAAGACGAGTAGCAAGCTGGCTATGCCGCAAATAAAAAACTATCGAAATACAAGCATACACACATTATATATACATATGTCTACATGCATATAGTTAAAAGAAAGTCGAATATTGTAATATTTTAAATTAAAAATTAAAAAGTGAAAAGACAACATCAATGGACTTAAAGCCAAACCGAAATCGAATCAATAAACACACGCGTTCTGTTATCAGCGAAGCGAAAAACAACTACAACAAGCATTCCAGGAGTCTTAAGGCCGCGTCGTATAGTAGTGAACCTTTACTTTTAACTTTTATTTGATTATCGTCTCAAATATTCCACAGCTTTTTCGTTTTGTTTTGCGATCGATCTAAGTAAGTCATTTGTCGTAAAGTTGCTATAAAGAAGACGTCCATTTTAGTTAAGTGCTCAATGATTTATTTCTCTGTTGTTTAATTTTATTTTATTTCATTTTATTTTGTAATGAAACTATGTACATACATACATAGAAGAGAGTGCTGAAAACAAAAGCGTTTACAGGCAACGCATGTGTGTATGTAAAATTGGCATTTGTTTCAAGAAGGTATAGATAATACTCTGAAACTCTCTATATTCACAAATAAAACCACCAAACCCCGTCCACAACTATGAAACATCTCGATTATTTCAAAGCTGTCGAAAACATCACTCAATGGTCCTTCCTACAATTAGCATCACAATCGGACTTGAATTGCATTATTCAATATATTCAAATTTGTATACACATACAGAAGTCAAAATTTGTTTGAAATATCCATTTCTAAGTGTTTATTCATTCACAGGTAAAATTATAAAATAATTTCAATGGAACATGTATTTCTAAATGCGAAAACAAAAAGTATAAAATTTAATTAAAGCAAGTTATTTATAAGAATATAAAAGATGGAAAAGTTGAGTAAAGTTTTTATATAATATGTTCTATCATACCGCTCTGTTAATCATAAGTTTTTTTTATAAGTAAAACGAATAAGTTTTTATATTAAACACATTGTATGTGAATAACATTTATGTATGTATGTGACTACGGACCCATTTCATATCGGGTGTAAATAAAAAGTAAACAAACTAACTTACATTTAGAAGGTATAACAATTCAATTATAAACGATAAACGAATGTAATAATAATGTGTGACAAACCAATAGAATAAACAGAATTAATTAAAAATGTCACTTTTCTCTCTACAGCCCTAGCCATATTTATTGAAGAGGAGTCGAATGTTACTTTTGAAAAATAAATACAAGCCTTCTTCTAGCAAACAATTTGGCTTCAACAACAGGGGTCCAGCTTTGATCAACTRAAATATTTTATTATTACCGAACACATCTAACCTCTTTGAGAGCATTTGATTGTACATTTTTCCCAGGAAACCCATAAACATCAAAACATTGAAGAAATCTCGTCGGTTATAATTCGGAAAAATTAAGGATAAAATCGGAAATTGAATTGAATGACTTTTTTATCATAGGCCTCTGTGGTTGTAAATCCGGGTCCCTTCCGGTTACRTAGAACCGACTATCGTGAGAACGGCTTATAGGCCCCTCTTTATCATCGTACTTAACTTCTAAACATCGAAATTAGTTGGCGATAATAGAATTGCACTTGAATGTGGCTGCCAAACTATCAAGAACTAAATACACTGAAATAAAAAAATAACCAAAAACACATACATAAGTTAAATAAATTTCGTTTATATATAATATATTAATTGTGAGATTGAAAACTTGAGCCATTATAAAAGGTCAAAAGATTTCCTTTTACTTATGCTCAAAAATGAGAACGAACAAGAAAAATCGTTAACTTCGACTGCACCGAACCTAATATACCCTTCACAGGTGCATTTCTTTTAGTAACTTTATGTCCAGAAACTATATGCTATAGTAATCTGATCTGAACAACTTTTCGGAGATTATGTTATTACCTTAAGCAATAATCCATGTCAAATTTCGTGAAGATACCACGTCAACTGCAAAAGTTTCCATATCAGCACTTGATTCCGATCGTTCACTTTGTATGGCAGCTATATGCTATAGTTAACCGATCTGAACAATTTCTTCGGAGATTACATTATTATCTTAGAAAATAACCTGTGCCAATTTTTGTGAACATACATTGTCAAATGTGGAACTTTTGCATGCAAGAACATAATTCCGATCGTTCGGTTTGTATGGCAGCTATATGTTATAGTGGTCCGATATCGCCAGTTCCGACAAATTAGCAGCTTCTTGAAGAGAAAATGGCGTTTGCTAAATTACAAAACGATATCTTAAAAACTGAGGGACTAGTTCGTATATATACTGGCATACCGACGAACGGACGGACAGACAGACAGACGGTAGACAGACGGCAGACAGACAGGCGGCCACGGCTAAATTGACTCAGCTCAACATACTGATCATTTATATATATACTTTATAGGGTCTCCGACGCTTCCTTCTGGGTGTTACAAACTTCGTGACGAACTTAATATACCCTGTGCAGGGTATAAAAATAAAGCATACCATCTAGCTTAAAGTTGTTAACTAGTCAAGATAAATTAACAGAAACATGGGTGATCATATTTGTTTTTTTATAACTTCTTTATTTAGAACTTAAAATTTAATATTAGCATTAAGATATAAATCTATCATTTTATGGATGCACCGACGGTAGCCATACGATAATACATTAGGTATTCGGCTTCATAATCCGCATATGTTTGATTATTGTAATTTCTTTCAGCTGGAATATAGTGGCGCAGTGGATTTGCAAGCATAAAGTCGTACAACTTTGAAAGTTTATGCAGTGTTCGATTCGTGTTTATGTTAACTACATCTATTTTGTCCAGCATTTCCTCAATTTGCTCACGGTGTTGTTTGATTTTTTGTTTGCAGCTTTGCGCGTCGACTATACGATAATAATATAAAAAAAATAACACATACATAGATAATTATGTAATGTCCGAGAGTAATTATTAACACTGCCTACCCATAACCAAATCCAAATCCAATTTCAAGTCAAGTGAATGCTGGGCAATTAAACACGCCCATTTGATACGATTACGCACTTCCTGTAAAGCCCCTGAAGCTGTCAGTAGACTGCCTGGCGCCAATTGCATTGTAGAAGAAAGTTCACGTGATTCTACGATCAATGGATTGGGTGACAGATGGTAAGCGCTGAAATTAACCAGAAGCGCAAGGGTTACACATGTTTGAGTATATGTATCTAGCACATTTCGAAGCACTCTAAATGATATCTCACCACTCTTTCGTTATACAGCTAAACTTTTCAAATGGGATTTCGGCGAAAGTAGATAACTCACTGGAGTATGGTGGTAGAACGAAACGTGTTTCGTTGTTGTTGCATCCGGCAGCCGCAGGCATAAGTGTGGTATCCGCACATCCCGCACTTCGTCTCGATGTTCCAGTATTATTTGCTGAAGTTGCGTTAAGTGACATTATGGTGGAGTCAAAGTCTAATTTCGTGCTACAGAATACCATGTCTCCACCACCCATTTCAAAGCTATCACCAATAGTAGATATATTGTTGTTAACTTTAAGCTTCGTTGGCAGGAAATTGGATTTCATGCATCCGCCAGTAATGGGAGCCACAGCTGAACCAATGGATACTTGCATATCATCTACCATACGTTTCAGCATATTTTTTGCATAAAGAATCTTTTCCTTGATTTGACCAAGTTGCAACATTTCATATTGAATTCTATTAATCGATGTATTGATGTTACTATAAACGTGTTTAATAGATCCCAGGATAACCTGTGGCAAAATCGAAATAAGAAAAATTTATGTTTTTAGAGACAATATTCTTAATATACCTCGTGATTTTCCAATTGTCTAGCACCATAGTCAATATCTGCTTTACATTGTTCAATTTGTTGAGCTATGAAATCATTTTGACTTTTTGAGAAATTGCGCAAATTATACTGCACCAGGTAGTCCGATATCGTTTCATTGATATTTTCATTTGTATTGGCGTTAAATAGATTGACCTTCTTTTCTAACTCGTCTACAAAGGGACCATAAGCATCGGAGAATTTTTCTTCTAGCATAATACGTTCTTTACGTGCGGACAGGTATTTAACAACTATGCCCAAAAGATCTGCCTTGGTTTGCAAAAGTTTAATGTCAAAAGAAGACAGTGGGTCCTTGCTGCCGACTCCACTGAAGGAATGGCTTGCTGAGTCCTCATTATTTGATTTGTATATTAATGATATTACATATTGAAGTTGTTCTTCCTTCAAACGCATTATTACATTGAAGAAAATAAAATTAGGCATTCTTGAGAAAATAGCACGCATTTTCACCCACAGCATATCTTTTCCTTCCTGAACGGTGGTAGCTTTAAATGATTAATTACGTTATTTATACATTTGTTCAAAATGTCATTAACTTACGACTGCTTCCCTGATTTATGTACAATGTATAAAAATCGTCGAGATCTCGAAGCGCTTGTTTAACTTCGTCCATGGCAATAATTTCACTCGCGTTTTTAACTGTCAAACGCACCGGCATTGTAGCAATTATTAATTTTTTATTATTTTCCTCCTGTTTAATCTGTTTCCGCAAAGCCACAGACTTAAAATTTAAAATATTGATGCGAGATGCTTGAGTTTTCTGCTTATGCTGGAGGCTAATGTGTTGGATGTCTAAATAAATAAACTTGATTTGCTAAAGATATTTTCTTTTAAACTACTTTCCCAATAATAAATTACTCTTTGTTTTTATATTAATAGCCAGAGTCTCATATTCCTTTCTGTATTCATCTAAACGCATTGCTACGTCTTCCTTGTGCTTTATAAGATCCTCTACTTTCAGAAAAATTTGCATTTCTTTGGGCAAAAAAATTCGAGCCGATGCCTATAAAGAATTAAATTTGTAAGGATGTCATCCTTGGTTAACCCAAAATATATAGATATGAATGTATATATATTATTTTACCGACACCATATGACCCTTTTGTTTCTCCAAACGCTTCAAAAGTATACTTTCGCGTACCTCACAAGCATCTTGCCGAGATCTTACACGCTTAATTAAATTACAAAATAAGTCACGTTGGCGCGATTTATAAATCCTGGAAATATTATGCAAATCAGAATATACAAATTTTTTATGGAAACGTAGGAGTAAACTTACGATTTTAAAGCCTCTTGCGTTGGTATTGCTTCCGGCGGACAACCCAATCTGGCTGCCCACATCTGAAAATATTCTATATCCATTTCAAGTGGCATTTAAAACTCGTATTCTATTATAAAAAAAAATATTTTTATATCGCTTTGCACCCAAATTTATATTTGAATTATATTGACTATTCACAATTGTAAGCTCGAAGTTTGATAACAGGGTTGTCATATTTTCTTTCTGGAAATGAACAGTGTTGGTCGTTTTACTTAATTAACCATCAATTTCCCCTTTTAGTTTGCATTAAATATTTAAATTGTTTAATCATTCGCGCGTCGCAATTAATACATTACCCGATGACATAGTATCAAATATATTTCAGAAAACTTGAAAACGCAGAATACGCAAATATGCTGAGGTTTCTTTATTTGTGCTCCAATTGGTTAATCTTTAACGTTGTGAATAGCCATTTTCCAATTCAGCACATTTGTTATAAGGTGGACCAACTTTAATTTTTTTTATAATAATAATTTCAAATATATGGCATCACTATGTACATCACAAACAAATTTTGACAATTGCGCGCATTTTTTTACACTACTGACACCGAAATTCCTTGAATGGACTATTTTATACAAAAAGTTTATTCTACGTATATGACTAAAATATAAAATTATAAAAGTGATATTTAAGACTACTACACTACTACTTAAAAAAAAACTAAAAAAAGAGGAAAATATATAAACTGATTAAAATATGAATAGAATTCAAAAGTTCTTCAATCGTCAGCAAGGCATCGGTAAGTATCGTAAATAAAATGTAAATGTTGGTGTAAAACAATTTGGCGGCTGAAGTGGCGCGACCTGGAACCAAACCAGAGAAGATTTAGCGGGAAATCCAGCCTGGATTATTTTGTTTGTGTATTATTAAGTTAAAGTTAGATAAGAAAATTACACTTTTGAACAGATTAAAGTCGGTCATCCAACTAAATTGTGCTGTGCATGCAAAATAATAGACAAGAGACACGTACATATCTATAATAATTTGCTTGTTAATATCAATATTTTTCGCATTAATTTTAGCAACTGACTATACCTATGACTTTGCCCTACGTAGACTTTGTGTGGCAAAGGAAGACAGCTGGCGTGGAATCTTACCATCCAATTATAGCTCAGATTATAATCCAGAACCACCCATATTTTCGGCAAAATTTTCCAAATGTAGTAATTTTAGACACATATTAGCTATTGCTAATGAAGATGGAAAGATTGCATTGCAAGATACAACAAAAAGGAACGAAGAACCAGAAGAACGTTCTCTTAATGCTCCTCAATGCCACTACAATGCCGTTTTTGATTTGGAATGGGCGCCTGGAGAGATGAAATTTGTTTCTGCATCAGGGGATCACACAGCCAGCTTATGGCAAGTAGATGAACAAGGAGAAATTCGGAATATACGATCATTTGTTGGTCATACACGGTCTGTAAAAACAGCGGCGTTTCGCAGACATGATTCATCTGTCTTTGCAACTGGAGGAAGAGATGGCGCAATTATAATTTGGGATACGCGAGCAAATTTAAATGTGGATTTAACACCACGCGCAGATAACTGCATTTATAGTGGACATGTTGGTGGGCCAGGTACCCCGGTTTCTCATAGAAAACGCACACGAACACCAAAAATGACACCTAGTGCTACATCAAGTAGTATCACAGGTCTAGCTTTTCAGGTTAGTGTTAAATTGTACAAACGTGAACTATTGTTTACATAAAACTATGTTCACATTTTTTAGGACGAAAACACTCTAATATCTTGTGGGGCCGGTGATGGAATTATAAAAGTATGGGATTTACGACGAAATTATACTGCATACAAGAAAGAACCTCACCCAAAACATAGTCTACCATATGCTGGTACCAGTACGTTTAAAGGTTTTACCAATCTGCTTGTTGATGAATCAGGCTCGCGTTTGTTTGCTAATTGTATGGATAATACAATTTATTCATATAATCTGTGTTCGTATACGTCGAAACCTCTAGCGGGATATAAAGGCCTACTAAATAGTACTTTCTACATAAAATCTTGCCTTAGCCCAGATGGTAAATACTTGCTAAGTGGAAGTAGCGACGAGAAAGCTTACATATGGAATCTTAATTATCCTCATGAACCCTTGGTCGCTTTGTGGGGTCATACTGTAGAAGTAACATGCGTTGCATGGGGATCTACCCACGACTGCCCTATTGTAACTTGTAGTGATGACGCACGTCACAAAATTTGGCGTATAGGGCCAGAAAATATATCGGATTTCGAAAACGTGGAATTATATCGAGGTCACGCTGAGTATGTTCGTCAGTTTGGTCGAAGGGCACATGGATCAACACATAAATACAACTTGCGAGACCTTGAGAATACCCCACGTTCACTCAAACGTATAATGGAGCAAAATGAACGTACTCCTAGTTCCGTAGAGAAAGTAACAGCAAAACGGTCGTTTTTGGAAATGCTGGGAGGGGTGGCTGGGGAAGATGATGGTGAAGTTTATGAACCTAAGCGACCAAAACCTTTGGAATCTAGAGGTAAAAAGCTTAGTCTTTTTTTTTGTATTAGTTTTATTTTAATGTTATTTGTTTTTAGGTCGTCGGCTATTTAGTCCTTCAACGTCGAACGTGGGAAACCCACTGAGTTTGACATCGCCACAGACCCGCCACATCAATTTGCAACTTATTCCAATTCCAGAGGAGCCGTACACTTCTCCCACAAGTTCAACTACAACCTACGCCGCCCATACCCATAGTAATGATAGCAACCAAGAAAATACGGTAGAGACTACAACGCCATATATATCGTTAAAGCAAACTTGCCCGATCATACAATCGCCACTCAGTGAGCGAGTAGTGACTGACAACCATAATTCCGATTATACATCACCAACTAACGCGGGAACGTCTAATAATTCAACGTCACAACAGCCATCTTTATCTTCAATGATTTTTTCACCTACCTCAAATCTGCCAAATTATGTGCTTAACGGTGAAGCACCCCATTTGGGTATAATGTCACCGAAACGTAAGCACAAGGAAAAGATTGACTGGTTAACAAAAATACGAAAACAAAAATTGATGTCCTCCCGTAGCGCAACACTTACCGAAAAAATTATTGAAGATTGTAATGGATCACAGTCTCCGATAGCTTCTACATCATCACGTGTACAAAGTTTGAGGACAACGGATGCTAGTCCGCGCTCCAATGTCACTCCACGTCGACGTAAGTCGAGTGGAACTCCTGACATACTATCTCATGACTCACCTTCGACGTCTCACCATCAGGTCTCGCATCCTCCAAAAACACCAACATCAAGTCGTCGTAATAGTGAGACTACTATTTTGCGATTTTTTAGCGTTCGAACACAACAACGAAGTGACATCACCGATTGTACATCACCTTCTGAAGAAACTACAGAAATTATTGGTGACCTACAACCTTTAAGTTTGAATTCTGCGAGCACCAATACGATTGGTAGTGTCAGTAGGAGTATAGCTTACAATACGTCTACACATACACAAGCCACCACCATCTGTAACGAATGACTTTAATATTTATGTACATTATTTTTAATTTTTCGCCTCCTTTTTATTATCATTATGTTTTCGGTTGTCCTAATATGATACGGATGACTATATTGTGGGTACACCCAAAGGTGGAACCACCGTTATTTACTTTTTAAAAAAGTTATTATAGTATTTAAGACTTATTCATATAAAGTAGCACTAAGTGTAACCGATAGACTTTTCTAAAGTAAAATAGAAAATTTAAGACATTTACAAAATAAAACAGAGGAATCGGAAAGACAACCTCACAAATGTTAAATAGTTGAAAATGTTTTTAATCCTTAAAAGTACTTCTCTCATAAGTACGCAACACCTATTCTATCTTATTAAAAAAAAATTAAGGAAGTTTTCTTGACATGCTCATAATATTTACATTACGACAGTCGCGTCTCCCACCCAAACAAATTTTAATTACTATTCGGCTTTTAAACTCACCAATTTGAATTTTAGAATGTTAGAATTTTTTTTGTGCCGCCACAGCAACAACAAACGGCACTTGTGAGCATATCGTAGTTTTTTCATGGAGAGTTCATTAAATGATTTCCAATAGAATTCTTAGGATTAAAAATTAAATGCAATTTTCGTAGAAAGGAGATGGAAATGGCAAATGCCAGCATTCTACTTATTCCCCAATTGTAACTGAGTAAACAAAAACACTAAACGTAAAAAATGCAAATCATATTAATATTTAAGGGTATGCATTTAAAATTCCTGCTTCATTTTAAATAATATAACAAAATATGAAATATGTACCCATTAACTGTGTACAATATAACAATTCCAATTGACAATTGAAGTGCACAACGTTGAAAAAATTGGTAGAAGTTTGCGCAACATTTTTCTCGATTTAAGAGTTTGGGTTTTGATAAGCAGTTATTTTTATCAATTCTAATTAACGAAAGCTTACTATTCAAAATACTCGACAACGGAAGGTTAACAGGATAGTCGAAAACGACCGGTTAATCGAATAGTCGACGACTGACTACTATATGACTATACTGCAAATATTATTATTATTCGAATAAAATCCTATCCAGTCCAGATCGAGATTCAGTTTAAGAGCTTTTAGAAATATATGGCTATTATATATTTACAGTTGACATACAGTAATATAATATAGTTGTGATTTACTTGACATTACCTCTCGAAAGTTTTTACCGCACAACAAAAACATCGATATCATCTAGTAAAATTCAAAGACACAATTGGAGTGATGGATTTGGTTCTAAATATTGAAACATCTAGCGGGAAATTTACGAGCCAAAATTATGTGGTAACAAAATAAAGAGCTTAGTTAAATAGACATACTTCTGGAGATAGTAACGGTCATCGCCAACATCCTTTATATAATATAAAATCTTAACAAGTTTACATGTCTCTTTATCCGGTTAACATTGCCCCGATTATAGCAGGGATTACATTTTCATGAAGGTAACATTTATTTGTCCATATTCCTGAAAGTTAATTAAGTAAGGGAGAATCTTGAATAAGATATGATACAATATACGTACATACACACCTGTTCCAGATATTCTATTCTGTACACCCGCAGACTTTTGAAATCACTTCCAATATCAAATAATTCCTTAAACACATAAAAACTAATTTAAGCTTTCAAATTTCAAAGTAAAACTTTCAGTCAATTACATTAAGAAAAAGCCAATTCCAAAGGAAAAATTTTCATTTTTTTATTAACATTAATAGTAATAATAATAATTAACATCAAAAAAGAACTTTTAGTTCCAAAAAGTAAATAAAAGTATTAGAAGTACATATTCAGTGTACATAAAAAATAATGTAATTCAAAAAAAATTATATAAGTATTAATATATTCATAAATGGTATGCAAATGAAAAAAATGCTGGGATTTAACTTACGTACAATTATAAAAAGTTTTAATTTATTAATTAGGTAAAAAAATATATAGATGATTCTTTCATAAAAAATAAAGTTGCTTTTCCAATGCGTTGTGTGGTAAACGATTAAGGCTCTCAGCAACTAGGAATGCTAATTTGTGCGCATATTGGCATACTGCAGGCACGCGGCAAGTTCCACTCCAATTATAATAAAGATGCGTCATTTTGTACGTTAACATTTGTATTTTGTCGGCATCGAGACCCATAGTGTCATAAATGACATTATAACTCGTAGGCGACACCGTACCTTGACGCACTGACTGCGAAACTAAAAAGAAATCATACCGTTCAGGTAAAGTAATGACATCGTCAACCACGGTTCCAGGAACTGGATTTCGTTTATTAACAAAATAACGTGTATTTATGCGCTTTGAAACCACTATAAAAGCCATGGGACAAGGTGTCGGTTCTCCTGCGTTTTTGTAAATCTCATCTAATTTATCTTTTAAAAACTTAACCTCAGTGTTGAACACCTGAGGCAATTGTCCATCACCTACTCCGTCACGATAAAATAGAATCTTTTTTGGCAACATGCCATGTTCATTTCGATATGCTTTCAAAGCATATGTCATGTTCATGGCTATTTCATTCGAAAGCTCTTGTCCTTTCAAATGTTGTGAAACTGTAGAGAAATATTGAGGTTTAGACTTCAAATCCATTGTTGCAACCAAAGCTCCATATGATTTATTTTTTTCTTTGCCAGAATGGCAGACATCAAAACCAACTGTCATCAAACCACTTATTGGAATTTCTGTCATCCAAGGGGCCCCCATAAGTTTGGCATTCATTTGTATGACCACTTTAGTTGCGATAGACATTAAACCGGAAGCTCGGTCACCACGAGGAGCAATAGTTCGAAGAGTTACAACCTGAGACGGTACTGGACGATCAATACAGCATTTTTTTTTTATGCAACTATATTTTTCTTCATTGGCAGCCGGCATTACTACCATTAATATTTGAAGATCACTTGCTACAGATGTATTAATAGCCTGTGAATAAGTGCCATTACGATCGTCTAATATTTGCTGGTACATTGGTTCAGCAATTCGCATACGCATGCCATTAGCTGCTCTTATGCACATTTGTACGAAATTTTGAATTTCAGTCAAATTTCTTTTAAGGGCTATCACGCACCATCTTCTTATATCGACATTCTTATACGGTGATTTATTCCGCAATTCTTTTGTCCAATCAGCATAAACATTACAATCATAACGTTCATTGTTACCAAAAACTATTCGACAAGACGGTATAACCCGAGCTGGAACTTCGACGAGATTTTTATCCAAGTCCATATTCCAAGCTTTTAGAACGTCAGTACTATCAGTAGTCCCAATCAAACGATCATTGAATGCTTTCAAACGCCCAATACGTTTATCTGGCGCCAAACGAGTAAATTCACTCATTGCTCTCATTAAACTGAAATTACTTCTCATTGCGTTAGTTAGCCCAGTTGAGCGTGACAACTCCGGAATCAACATTATGAGCTCACTTTGACCAGCCCGTATATTACGTTCTGAAGGTCGAGATACCAATAGAGGTTGTTTTGCGTCTTTTATATGAATGTTATAACGCTTTTTGTAATATTCCATGTAAGAAATATCACCATCTTTTGTTTTGAATTTAGACATTGGAGAAGACTCAAAGTCGACGTCATCCACTCGATATGTTTTATTATTGTAATCTGTAAGTACAATRGTACCGACAACTTCATGTTTAAAAGAGTTCAGTGGATCCTGTTTATTTTGGCATTCCTGTAAAGTCTTATAAACCGAATCAGTGCGCATTACTTTATGCGCTATTTCCGCACATAACAAGATATCTTGCTCGTGTTGACGAATAGAAGTCTGATAACCTGGCCATAATTCAAGACAATAGGCATTAAGGGAATGTTTTGCTTTTGGGTCGTAGAAGTTGCGTCCAACGAGTTGTAATTTAAGACCCTCCATAGCGCGACGTAAAATGAGATTTAATACTTGAAGTTGTTGAGCATCGGTGACATCTAACTGCCCGACGTGTTTCAATTTTATTTGAATGATTTCACCTTCTCTATTCTTAGTTATAAGTTCCAAGTCCTGTTTCTCCAGGTATGTTGTACAAAATAACATAGTTCCATCGAAAATATATCCTCCTAGTGTTTTTTTATGTTGTGCTAAATAAGCACGTCTAACGCGTACCATGTCCACATCCGGCGCAAAGTCAACGCGATATTGATATATAGACCACTTCGGTTTCTTCAAAATACGATAGTAGTTTGTTTGAACAACCACCTTTGTTCCAGTTTTACCTGTTTTCGTAACACAAGTAGGAGGACGAGAAGTTACAACTTCAGTTAATATACGCTTTCCACGCACTGCTCCTCGAGAATCTTCTCTAACGACAGGTGCATCTCCACTTGCAATATCTCGATGTGCAGTGGCTCTTCCTTGCATAACGGGAGCAGGTGCGCGTTGTTGAATAGGTGCAGTACTGCAGCTTTGAGGTTGCAAACCTGAACCACGAGCAACTCCTGAACTTGGCTGACCCCAAGCAGATGTTGATGGAACTTGAGAAAACCTCCTTGAAGAACCTGATGCATCTGCATCTTGCTCACCTCGTTTGTTCCGGTTTTCAACTCGAGGTTGCTGTGGATTTGTCGCGCGCCCTCGTCCTCTGGAGCGACCAGCACTTGTTAATTTATCCATCCCTTAGAACGTGCTTCCTAACTAAGAAGATACGATAAGTGAAATACGAAACAAGCAACAAGGTTAGGCCAGGGATAATGTTAGGCCGTTATTAAATAAATGCACGCCAAAATAATTTGACTTTCAAGTAAGGGTTGCCACACTTTATTGCATGACATGAGACTTACAAAAATACACACAGAAGCATTGAAATATTTTAAAGTCGCCCAACATGGATAAAATTTTACATTGTGCGTCCTGTGTCATAAAAATTTACACTGACGTTATGTGCTCACAATTGCTCATACATAAAAGTGGTATTCTAATAAATTGAAATGAAAAATACTATTATATCGCATAAGTCTCGAACATGTTTACTCATAAAAAGAGAGAATAAAGACGTAAAATGAATATGTATGTATGTCGTGTAGGGCGAAAGGATTGCACGCCGAAGTGTGTCGTGTATAGTTACTTTAAGGAATAAAATTTATAAGTGGTGTCGTAGGTCGCCGAATATGAATAATTAAATTCAACTATTCGTAGTAATATAAGATTTAAAAAAAAAGAGACCAGAAGGATATTCATAATAGAAGGTATTAAAGAAATGGATATACCATACGTATTTATGCTTATGCAAATTAACTAATATCTGAATGATCTAATGTTAATTAAATAGCAATAGTTTGGCAGCCCAAAAATTGGTCGATGGCATCAGACTTTTGTTAATAGAGTACAGTTGAGTTTTATAATAAACAGTTATACATTAAGTAAGGGGTTATCGATGCTTTTGTTGCTAATTATCGGGGAATTTTCTTTTGGTGTTCCTCATTGCATGCACATGGCGACCCGTGTTTCCGAACTTTCTGCGCCCCCTTTCGTATGCTCATTCAAGCTTGCGGCGGGATGACAATAAAAGGGAGGAGAAAAGATAAGTAAATATTTAAATTTATTTGTTTAAAATTATCAGTCGTTATTACAACAGAGGTATTTTATGTTTCATAATTATACATTTTACATATTATTGGCATCCTCTGTCGTCGGCAAATTTAAAAATATTTTTAAATTGGCGAGAGCGACAACTGAGCGCCTGCTGTCGTGTAATCGGGCAGCTGTCTAAATAACTGTGTCTATAAGAACGTGTGTATTTTAATATTTGGGGGATGTTGCTTGATGTGCTGACGACAATGAGCCCGACAGTGAACTGAAAATGGCGTTGTGAATCCTTCTACATGAACATTTGTGAGAAGCAGCAACATAACAATGGCCGGCAGGTATACAAGACAACACAGCTGTCCATTTTGCATGTACACAATTTCGTTGTGGCCATACTAATACCTTGCACTTCAATGAAATTTTAATATTTTGTTCAAAGTGAAAATGCAAAAAATAAGTAAATAGGTAAATTTATTTGTTGTAAATTGTCAATTGTTATTACAAATGAAATAATACAGCTATTTTATGTTTTTATTTGTAAAGTAATGTCAGGTTTATTAGAGCTTTGAATAATTTTACATTTTACATATTGGTGGCATCACCACTCTACCTCATCTTTGTTCTGTCAACTCTACTCTCGTCCTACTGTCATTGGCAAATATAACAAGTAAGGAGGCGCTAAGTTCAGGTGTCACTGAACATTTTATACTCTCGCATGATAAAATGATAATCGAGATTTCATTATCCGTCATTTACATTTTTTTTATTTTGCTGTAAAATTAATTAGATTAGGTTAGGTTAGGCACTGAGTTCTTCGTGTTCGATATYAGGGACCTTGAAAAGTTATAGTCCGATCACGACAATTTTTCCACAAGGGATACCTCAGCTCAAATACCGTATTTGTGTAAAGTTTTATTCCGCTATCATCATTGGTTAATAATGTATACATTATACAGAGTAGGCCTCAGATGGAATTCAAAATAGCGTTATATTGGAAGAAGGCGTGGTTGTGAATCGTTTTCACCCACATTTCGTACATGTCATCAGGGTGTTAAGAAAATATTATATACAGAATTTCATTGAAATCGGTCTAGTAATTCCTGAGATATCTTTTTTGGTCCATAAGTGGGCGACGTCACGCCCATTTTCAATTTAAAAAAAGCCTGGGTGCAGCTTCTTTCTGCCGTAAAATTTAGTGTTTCTGACGTTGTTTGTTAGTCAGTTAACGCACTTTTAATGATTTTCAACATAACCTTTGTATGGGAGGTGGGCGTGGTTATTATTCCATTTTTGAACTGTATATGGAAATGTCTGAAGGAAACCACTCTATGGAGTTTGGTTGACATAGCTATAGTAGTTTCCGAGATATGTACCAAAAACTTTGTAGGGGGCGGGGCCACGCCCACTTTTCCAAACAAAATTACTTCCAAATATGCCACTCCCTAATGCCATCCTTTGTGCCAAATTTCACTTTAATATCTTTATTTATGGCTCAGTTATGACACTTTATAAGTTTTCGGTTTTCGCCATTTTGTGGGCGTGGCAGTGGGCCGATTTCCCAACTTCGTACTTAGCCTTCCTATGGAGCCAAGAAGTACGTGTACCAAGTTTCATCATGATATCTCAATTTTTACTCAAGTTTCAGCTTGCACGGACGGACGGACAGACGGACAGATAGACATCTGGATTTCAACTCTACTCGTCACCCTGATCACTTTGGTATATATAACCCTATATCTAACTGTTTTAGTTTTAGGACTTACAAATAACCGTTATGTGAACAAAACTATAATAGTCTCTTTAGCAACTTTGTTGCGAGAGTATAAAAATATATTGAGGTTAGCGAGAGCGACAACTGTCGGCCTGCAGTCGTGTAGTCCGGCAGCTGTCAAAATAACTGTGTCCATGAGAATTGTGTATTTTAATATTTGACAGATGTTGTTTGCCGTCTATCGCGCTCATTGTGTTCAGCAGATCAATTTGGAATTATTTATATGATTGCAATTGGGGAATAGGTATACAAAAAATTTACTTTTCAAAATATTGGGTAGTCGAAAAAGTCTTTTCGTATTTCTAATCAAACTTCAACTTATTGTATTTTTATATTTATATTAATAAACAAATATGTATAAACCATTTTGGCCGACCACTTATTGCCATTTTTCCGCTAGAGACATTATTCTGTTAGTGTAAATCGAAATTTCGAAATTTCCAGAACGAAGGGAGCGAACCATTGTGCTACACGAACTGAAACAGCATCGTCTAYGTAAACTTCACAAATTTCATTGGTGACTTGCGTGACATTCTTAATTTAAAAAAAAAAAAATTTCAAAATTTCCAACAATATATGTATGTTATTACACAATGTGATTGGTAGCTTTGGAGATATGTGACTGCAACGACATGTATTGACAAAATAGTAGTTTTAAGTTAGAATAAGGGACGGAATGTAGAAAGTTGTAGACTAGTGACGTACATATGAGCGACACCAAAAGATAGCCTGCCCATARTTGGCGACAAAAAAGTCCTCGTCCCATCAAGTTAGTCTTACAGTGAAGGAAACTTTCATCAAAATTATGTTTCTCAGACAAACTGCAAGAAAGATATCGGGTCCGTTCCCACGACAGTCGGGTCTACGTAACCGGAACGGACCCGGATTTTTTATTCGGTCAAGGACTGTCAATACGGCAGAATTTTGCCGCTACAACAACAACAAAGATATCGGCTATTACTAATGACCTAATAGAAAAATAAAATAGATGCAATGTATGTAAATATAATGTACTTCGTTTTATTATAACCACTTTTTCAATTATACATATGTACATATTTTAAATGAAGACATGAAATTTAATTAACTTTGACCTTAGTTCGTTTCTCTTCAAATGATTTCATTACTTCACTTCGTTTAGTTGCTTTTAGGAAATTGCTACCCACACCAAGTAGTAATACGACGTGACAGATGTGTAATAAGCCGCTGGAGAAATCCGTACTTGGATATGTATTCCAGCACAGCTCAATCAAACCGAGTAAGAGAAATCGTATACCCAAGCTGTAATTTGTTGACCATATGAGGTAGGGCAATGAATGATAATACCACACGTAGAATTGATAATGCAACGAACGTGCGCAAAGCATCCCAAGAAAGTTACAGAGGAAGAAGGGCAATATGGCCAATTGTGAACATTTTTCGAAATGTATCGATACCTTCTGACGGTATTTTTGAACTGGACGTGGGGCTTGGGTATTTGGTTTTAATCCAGTGCTATTTTGTAGACCTTTCTCAAAGGATTTTAAAAACTGCTGTTGATCAGGTGTCAACTCTTCTTCGTTTTCCTTTGCCGTAACTTTTTTGTTTTTTTTACTATTTTTAGCTTCGTTAATACGATTTTTTTCCATTTCCATATTCTTTTGGTCAATTTGAGGTAGTAACTGATCTTGTAGTGCTCGTAAACGTACATAACTCTTAAAATATATGATAGTTGAATTTGCAAATAAAAGGAGAAGGAACATATGTACTACGATCAGAAATCCATGGAAGGCTTTATTTTCAAACAATGATCGCGCAAGGAATCTATAATTTACTGTCCATTTGTGTTCAAAAACGCGTTCAAAATCGAAGCTTCCTTTTAAATATGCCTTAGGATATGTTATTAGAAATGGCGCTCCTAGAAGTAGTTGTAAACCACCACAAATAGATAATTGCAGTATTGTCTTTAGGTAACCTAAATTAACTATATAAAAAAGCAACAGTGCTGGAGCAAATAGTAAAATATTCATCTTAACACCTACTGCTACACTAAAGCAGATACTACCAACAGTCCATCTCCGATCAAAAAACAAATTTAATGCTGCGTACAGAAATAAAACCGCTATGGGATCATTAAAGAGGCGCAGAACATATATAGAGTGTATGCGGTATGATGTGAAGGTACTTATCAATAACACATATGGAGGAACTTTGCGGCTTTTAATATACAGACGCAGTACAAGCCATAATTGCAAAAGGTATATAAATGCAAATATGTATTGAGCTAAGCGAATATTTTGTCCGTATGAAGTTATATAGTACAACGCCGAATATATGTAGACAAATGCTGCAGGATATACAAGTGGGCCGGTATCACCTACACAAATAGAAAAAAAGTTCAAATTTTCAGATAGTTATGATTTTGTAACAATATTTTTATTATACTTTCAAAAA